GGGGGGGGGGGAGAAGAGGAGGCAGGTCAAGGGTGGGGGCTTGGGGGAAGGAGTGGAGTGGGCGGGCTGAAGGTTGAACCCCCTGCCTCTGGTGCTTGCAGAGTAGGGGAAGCTGCCCTGGAACCTAACCCCCCCGCCCCCACACCTTTACATTAATTCTTATGAGGAAATTGGATTCGCTTAACATCATTTCACTCTAAGTCATATTTTTCAGGAACATAACTACAACGTTAAGTGAGGAGTTACTGTGTTTGATTTTCCTTTGTTTAGCATGTTTCAGAAAGCAGAATTTGTTTATCACATATCTCAGTGCATCTAAATCAAGTGAGATACAAGTGTTAAGATTTTCTATATACAGAATTATCTAGATAGGTCATAATTGTATCTTGTATGTTACATACAACTAAAATTACACAAAATTATACTATATGCATTTTTGAGGAAATTAGGAAATGTTACTGAGTACCAGAAAAACGGTATTCATGGTAGTACTTTGCATGTGTCTTCAAAGCTGAAAGCCTGTTTACTCACCTGATAAAGCACGAGGGACTTCTCCTTGTACAGAAATATTAGTCTGAGGCATATCTATAGCCATTGCATTATCTACCTGAAATCCCAGTTTATATTCAACCTGTAAGAGTATGTGGGAGAAGGTTAAGAAACTTCAATGATAAAACAATTAATATTAACACCTTTTCAAGCAATTTTTATTCGAGATATAAAATTAAAATCACTAATCAAAGTTTTTGGGTTTAAAGTACCTCAAGTTCATCACCTAACCTGATTTTCACATGGCATAATGCTCAGTACTCTGAATATCAGGCTCTGTTAAGGTATTTCAAATTGGACATCCAAAAGCACTCTAAATCACTAGTTACATGTTTGAAAATTTAGGCTAGAGTTGTTTTTTAAATAATCCTTTAAAAATGCTTAAGATAAGGCTAACTCCAATATGTTAAGTTAATTTGCTCAAAAGCGAACACTCAATCTATGGGAATTAAGAAATGAAAAAGGACATTACCACTCACCTAGTAAGTCTAAGTATAAGAAGGCTATAAAAGGTAAAAACTTGTTCAACTACAGTTAAGGTTCTTTTCCATTTTAAGACCCCGATTCTGCAATACTTGCACACAGGAGTAGGATCAAGGCCCATGCCAAATTCCAAAAGTTGTAACTGATTATAAGACAAGTAAAAATTATTTCCCTGCTTTGTTTTAAAGCAAAGGTTGTTTTTTTTATTAGACAGCTAGCTCTACAGGCAAAATGCCTGGATGTAAAGTAAAAATGTAACAGGGAGAAGTCTTCATTGAGTAGTGTCTGATCCAATACAAATTGGTTTTGATTTGTCCGATCTATGAACCTTTGAAAATTACACTTTGTGCACATACCGCACAATTAGTACTTTTAAGAAGCACTTTTTGTCAAAGTTCTCACTGGAGGTGGGCTGGGCTATGCATTTGCAGGGAATTAAACATGGTGTCCCAGGAGCTCAGAAAAAATCCTACTAAAAATTCATGTGCATGCACAATCCTATAACTTGGAGTACGTAAAGAAGCATTTCTCAAACTGGGGTCTGAGGACCCCTGGGGGGGTCCCCAAGGGTAGGGGGTCCATGGTCCCCGCTGATCAACTCCTCCCCCTCCGGAAGTGCAGCGGGGCTAAGGCAGGCTCCCTGTCGCTCCCAGAAGCGGCCAGCACGTCTCTGAGGGGGCGGGGGGGGGGGGGGGCATGGGGTGAGGAGGGGGTCTCTGCGTGCTGCCCCAACCCTGAGAGCTGACTTCGCAGTTCACATTGGCAGGGAACTGCGGCCAATGGGAGCTGCAGGAACAGTGCCTGGGGCAGAAGCAGCGCACGAGAACCCTGGCCCCCCTGCCAGAGAGATGTGCTGGTCGCTTTCAGGAGCCGCCTGAGGTAAGCGACAGCTGGCTGGAGCCTGCACCCCCTCCCGCACCCAAACTCCCTCCCAGAGCCTGCACCCCCTCCCAGAGCCTCCTTCACCCTAACCCCTTGCCCCAGCCTGGTGAAAGTGAGTCAGGGTGGGGGAGAGCAAGCGACAGAGAGAGGGGGAATGGAGTGAGGAGGAGGGAGGGGGAAGATGGGGCGAGGGGGGAGGGGGTGGGGCTGGATCTGAACAGGGGGGATTGGGAGTTCCCAAAAAATTTCAAATCAAAATGGGGGTTCTCGGGTTGCTGAAGTTTGAGAACCGCTGCTTTAGATTTTATTTATATAATGTCAAATGTTTGTATTGATTTACTCAAACCCAGCAAAACGACTGTGGTTCAAATTTTACAAAAACATTTACCCTCAGGCAGACTAGACTCATAATTTCAGCTGCAAAAACTTCAGCCACAAAGTAATAAGTAAATCAAAATCCTTTAAAATGGAAATGCATAGACAAACTTTACCATAGGTGTTGCTGCACACTCCAGTTATAATGGATATATGAAATAAAAAACTCTCTCTAAATACCACTCAAATAGATCCCTCTCTTCCCTCAATCAACATCTTTTCTAGGAATCCACAGAACACAAGATTCCAAGTTTTCAAAGGCCTTAATTCACAGCTGCCTGTTTCATGTTTAATTCACTGCCAGTATCACAACTGATAGACAGGTTGCCTGTAACTGTATTTTAAAGTAAAAAAGATGATGCCCCAAAGAACACTTATTTAAAAATATTCTGAACACTTTAGAAATGTTATGCATCCAACAAGCCATGCCCTTTTCTTCTCAGTCTTTAATTTCTTCTTGAGCACAATTAGTTGGTTCCCTCTGGCTCTATATATATATAAAAAAAACTCAACAGTATATCCTTTTATGCACTAGCCTATTCTAATTTGTGCAAAGGAAAGAGCAAAACCGTGGTCCAACTATTGACACTGACCTTTTGTTAAAATCTAGGCAAGACATTCATATATTAAGGTATGTAATGCAAATTCTGTTTATGCTTACCTTGGATTTAGCATGCCAACTGAAATGAAGACTATTGGTCTCACTGGGTATTAACAGATTGAAGGACAATGCGTAGTGATTAATAAGATCATTCCTCACATAATATAGCTCTGCATCAAGACCTAGAAATCAGAATATTTAGAAAAAAATTAGGTGAGGAAAGCAAAAGCCACTAGTAACTGAAGCACAACTACAGTCTCTCTTATTTGAGGTATTCTTGACTCTTCGTACTAGCAGCTCTGGTTTTTTTTATATATTTTTATATATTTTTTTTTATATATATATATATACACATACACATACACACACACACACACACCCCCTCCCACACACACACATATATACACACACACACCCCCAAAATTCATAAATTCTATTTTTAGATGCATAGTGGAGATGTACCATTATTTTTGCCAGTGTTGAGAAGTACTGCAAATTTCTGACAAAATATTAGTTCATAAGAGGAGCTCACATCCTAAGGACAGAAAAATAGACCAGGTCATGGAAGGGGAAAGAAAAGGGATTTTCTATACAAACTAACAAGAATCACTACAGGCAGTAATGAATGGACCCCTCATCTCATGGACCACATACTGTCTATTCCTGTGCATTAAGGGCTCAATTCTGCTCACATTTACAACGATATATGCAGCGCTGGCAGACCAGGTGCCAGCTCAGGCCAAGAGCCCTGGTCCTCACTGAATATTGACAAATGCATAGCTGGAAACCAGTCTTGGTCACCTGTGTGTTAGTATTCTTAAATAGATATTAGAGTTATGAGAATGTGTTTAGATTTTATGAAATGCGTGTAGGATGCTGCTTGTATTAATCTTACTAATATCTGTATCCCACGTTACAAGGTAATATTTAAGTGTTTGCTCTCTAACTATAAAAACGTTTGTTAAGACTATAACCTCTTCTCCCCCCTCGCCAGGAGAAAAGCATTACCAGGTGTGAAATACTAGTTTACCACAAAAGATGTCATTTCCTCCCCAACAAAAGGTGGCCTTCAGACACCAGACAAACCACTGGAATATCAGTGGACAAAATACTTTGCTGATTGGTTCCCCCGCACTGAAGAGGGTACATACACGAGCCCTCATCCCACCACAGCTTGAACACTGGGGGAAGGGAATACAAATTCCTGACCAGAAGGATCTGTATTACTATGCTGCCTGGAATTTGGAGAGGGCAATATTTCTAAGCATAAGCAAGAGATCCCCAAGCTGCTTAGCCCTAAACTACATTAACTTTAGTTAGTTTAATACAGGATTGGCTACAAATTAGAGGATTGAGCCAAAAGAAATCTGATGAGGTTCAACAAAGACAAGTGCAGAGTCCTGCACTTAGGACAGAAGAATCCCATGCACTGCTACAGACTAGGGACTGAATGGCTAGGCAGCAGTTCTGCAGAAAAGGACCTAGGGGTACAGTGGACGAGACGCTCGATATGAGTCAACAGTGTTCCCTTGTTACCAAGAAGGCTAATGGCATTTTGGGCTGTTTAAGTAGGGGCACTGCCAGCAGATCAAGGACATGATCATTCCCCTCTATTCAGCATTGGTGAGGCCTCATCTGGAGTACTGTGTCCAGTTTTGGGCCCCACACTACAAGAAGGATGTGGAAAAATTGGAAAGAGTCCAGGGAGGGCAACAAAAAATGATTAGGGTGCTGAAGCACATGACATATGAGGAGAGGCTGAGTTAACTGGGATTGTTTAGTCTGCATAAGAGAAAATGAGGGGGGATTTGATAGCTGCTTTCAATTACCTGAAAGGGGGTTCCAAAGAGGATGGATCTAGACCGTTCTCAGTGGTACCAGATGACAGAACAAGGAGTAATGGTCTCAAGTTGCAGTGGGGGAGTTTAGGTTGGCTATCAGGAAAGACTTTTTCACTAGGAGGGTGGTGAAGCACTGGAATGGGTTACCTAGGGAGGTGGTGGAATCTCCTTCCTTGGAGGTTTTTAAGGTCAGGCTTGACAAAGCCCTGGCTGCGATGATTTAGTTGGGAATTGGTCCTGCTTTGAGCAGGGGGTTGGACTAGATGACCTCCTGAGGTCCCTTCCAACCCTGATATTCTATGATTCTACAAGCGTTGTCTTTAGTGAGAGATTGAAGATACAAGTGACTCGGGGTAAGCGACTGGTCCTTTGGGACTGGGAGTAACCTGAATATTATTGTGATTTTTCAAATGCAGGCTTGCCTGGGTGGCAAAACAGATGCCCAATGGGACTGTCTATGACTCCACGTTAAGGTTATTATAGTGCTTGAGGAGTTCACACTTGATACTTAATTGGTAAAATCTAATTATAGAACACAACCAGCTTGGGACTTGTGCCCTGGTTTGTAACAGTCTGCCCTGAGGTTAATACCCATGTTCGTGAGCCACTCCAGACAGCTTGACAATATAAATTCAGAATTCACTGTAATGCATTTACAGTGTTGTGACTGCAAACAATTTGACCGAGGACATCTCATTTTTTAAGCACAGTTCAAAACTGTTTAACGAGTGAGGCAAAGACTCTGTGGAATTAAGTAGAGCTGTGTAAAATTTTATCCAAAAATGCAGATTTCACAAACTCTTATCCATTTCACAAAATGGTTTGATTTAAAAAAACAAATTTCAGAGAAAACAAACATTTCAATTTGACATTTTCAGAACCTAATGTTTTGATTTGACATATCTTCATTTCAAACTTTCCTTTAATTTTATTTAAAAGAATTAAAAACATTTTAAAAGGACTCAATCAAAAATGTTTTGGGAAAACAAAACATTTCATTTGACCCGAACCAACAACGTTTTATTTTAATTTTTAATAGTATCATTTCAACCCAAACCAATTTTGGGGTGTTTTTTTTTGGAATTGCCAGCAAACCAAAAAACCCATCATTCTCCCAAACCAAAAAACCCATCACTCTCTTTAGAGCATATAATTAGACCATAGTATTGCATATGCACAAGAGGAGAGAGTTAAGTTTCCACAAGCAACCTTAAGGTTAGCATTTCCTGTCTGATTCACTTTATAAACTTTTTTTTTTTTTTAAGGAAATTTCCTAGTTTTTTCTTTTAAAAAAATCCATAACATTCAAATTATTTGCTAAAGAACACCAAAATGCAGTTTCCCACCTAAGATGCATATTCTGATGCAAGGGATACTGCAGATGCCTGCCTCATGCAATACGTACCTCTAAATCAGGGTTTCCCAAACTTGGTTCGCGGCTTGTTCAGGGTAAGCCCCTTGCGGGCCACGAGATGCTGTGTTTACCTGAGCGTCCGCAGGCACAGCCACTTGCAGCTCCCAGTGGCTGCGGTTTGCCGTTCCCAGCCAACGGGAGCTGCGTGAAGCGGTGGCCCGGCTTGGTATGCAAGACAAATCAGACTCTTAAAGGGGTACAGTAGTCTGGAAAGGTTGAGAATCAATGCTCTAAGGAGCTCAGTCTGAGGGTAGAAGTGTGACAGATGCCAATTTGTAGTTCACTATTCTGTATCAGCAACTCTTCTCAGGCCTGACATATTCATTACATCGCACATACTAGTGTCATGGTATTTATTTAAAAGGTGACAGTGTACTCCTGGGGGAATTCTGCACCAAAAAAAACCATACATTTCTGCATATTTTATTTGTCAAAATAATGCAATATAATCACACCAGTTTCACTTATTTTGGTAATTTATTTAAACTACCATACAGAAAAAAAAAAATCACAACTTCTTCAGCATTTCCTAAATACATGAAAGTTAAAACACAAATACTAGGTAACCAATACCCTGCATTCCAGTTATAATCCTGGATTTTCATTTAAATTACATAACTTATTTTGATGTTCTATAAAGTAGAATGTTGCTTTAAATTACTCAGACTTTTACACATGAAAGTCAGGGCCAGATGAACCTTTTGTGGGCCTGGTGCCAAACATATTTGTGGGCCCCCATAGGGGCAAAAGAGCATGGCGTGGGGAGGTCAGTCCCCAGAGCAAGGGGCCAGCCAGGGGCAATGGGCACAGCATAGTGGGGCCAGTCCCGCTCCACCCGGCCCAGTGCAAGGGCACTGTATACAAACCGGCAGTTGCCAGATGCACACTGGCCCACCCAGCCCTGTGCTGCCAGCATGCCCCTTCCCCTCAGGGGTGGGCCCATGCCATGTCACACAGCCCCCGACTCCCTATGCCTGCGTCCCCCGGACCTGCTATGTCCAGGAAACCCCCACCCCAGACCCTTCACCGCAAATGCACAGCAGCCTGCACACCACCACCCCTGCCCAGCACCCCCACACACAGCCGCACCACTACTGCCCAATTCACTTCCCCACAGCCCACCACCACAACTACACAGCACCCCACTCAGACCCCCCATTGCCCAGCATCCCAACACACAGACCTCCCCCACCACCCCCCAAGAGACACCCCCACTGGCCAGCAGCCCCACACACACCTCTGGAGACCAACGCCCTCACACCCTGCCCCCTGGCCACACTCATATCCTTCAGATGCTGGAAGGTGTCGGCATCTGCCAGGCTGAGCTGGCAGCGCGGCCGGGGCCGGTCCATTGCCAGGACGGGGAATCACTCTGGCCTCTCAGGAGTGGTGCGATTAGCCGGGCCAGGGTCTGCCCTCACCCTGGCTGGACTCCCTCAGGACCCACTTGCCTGGAGATAGGGTGACCATATGTCCCCGTTTGGCCGGGACATTTCCCTTTTTAAGCTCTGTCCCGGCCATCCTGACTTTTTTGATAAAAAACGGACATTTAATCCCACTTGTTCTTGCCAACTAATCAGTTGGCAAAAGCAAATGAACAAATGCCCAGTTTACCAAAAAAGTCATCCTCTGCCTCTGGGTCCCCCTCCCCCTCCACATCCTCGTCCAAGATTTCCTCCTCCTGGATCAGTCCACTCTCAACTGGCAGGCGAGCCACCGAAGTATCACAATGGTCTTCGCAGTGAGGTGGGGTCACTGCTGAGTATCACGTCCAGCTCTTTGTAGAACTGGCAGCTTGTGGGTGCAGCACCGGAGTAGCGGTTTGCCTCCTGCGCTTTGTGGTAGGCGTTCCACAGCTCCTTCAATTTGATCCTGCACTGCGATGTGTCCCAGTCGTGGCCCCTTCCTGTCATGCGTCATGAAATCC